TTGTTATACATTCATTGTAAAGGCATCAAGTCCTTGAAATTCATCCTAGAACTCTCCACCTAGAAGTAAATATACATCAGGGGACAATGAAAAGCAGGACTCTTGCCTCAGGGTATGTCAAGAAATGAATATTAATATCTTGGGAGGACTGATTTACACAGCAATGATTTAATCCATAAGATTTGTATGAAATAGACCACACAAGTAAATATAATGAGATCATAAAAAGATTAAGAAACCTTAAGAACATGCTTGAAAAATACATTTGCACATTTCTCACAAAACTGGGGTTTCCTTCGTGTAGTGATGGAGCCTCTATGCCTAACAGGCACTCAGGCCTGAGTCACTGCGCACTCAGTTTGGGTATATCTGTTATGACAACAGTATCAACACTATCTAAAGATCTTTAATGGCTCCCGCCTGCCTATAGGATCAAGTCCGACCCTCCACACTGGTAAATGAGGAAGCCCCAGCTCACTTTCCAGTTATGTCCCACTGCACAGCCAGCACCTCTTCCCTTCTAGGTCATGAAGCCTCAGGGTCATGGTCACACTGTCCCCTCCACCTGGAATGCCCTCACCCAGGTATGTGCGCGGTTCACTCCCATACTCCTTCCAGTGTCTGATCAAACGCAACTCTGCAAGACTTTCTGTGACCACTCTATTTAAACTGCAAACCAAACACCTGTCCCTCCAGGTTGGTAGGGATTTTCATGTATTGTTCATGCTACATCCTTCTGCACCGGAACAGGGCCTCGCACACAGTAGGTCCTCCATAAATACTGACTCAATCAAGTCCTTGAGTACATGGTGCATTTTCACTTCAACAGGCCTTTGCCAATTCCACTTCCTCTTGGAAGGAAGGATCTTTCTTCTCTGTTTACTGGAAATCTGCTACCATCTTACTGTGCCCGGCTTAAATGTCTTCTCAAAGACGTTTACTTGATTTTCTGCCACCCACAACACTTCACGTATCTCAAGGCATTGCATGGTTCATTTGCAGCAGAATTCTGAGCTTTTTGAGGAGCAGAAACGGTGCCTTCCCCATTTCTACAGCCACTGCACGCTGAACCAAGTTGATGGCACACGGCGGGTCCCCATCCCCACTTGCTGAATGGGAAAAATGAATGGTAAACTGAAGTAGGTGACCACTCTATGAGGAGACATTCTCTATTAATAACATCATGTGGGGCAAAACCCAGCAGCTTTAAAGACATTCTGTGGGTATCTAAGATTCAGGTTTGCTTAAGCGCGTCAACACTTATACATTTCTATTTAGTATCTTTTTGGAATGTTTGAGATGCAAATAAATAAACTGTATAGTAATTTGTGCCCCAAGGACTCAGGAAACAGGGACCTTTGGGTATTTTAAAACACCATGGTATCAAAGTTAAAGAACGTTGATATATTTCTACATTTCAAATTAGACTACACGCACGCATATACATACACACATAGAGAATAACTATTTGCATCCAAAAAGAAACATAAATAAAAACCATGTGATCGCCCAGTCCTTTTTCCACACGCTACAGCAATATGTATTCCCATATGCAGTTAGGTAGGTGGGTTTTTTAAGATCAGGATTCTGCAATGTTATTCTACTTAAAGTTAGTCTTATAGTGTAAAAGAGATCATCAGAAAACTGTTCGAATGATACAACTCACAATTTGTGGAACTATACCTACCTTAACTCCTACTTAAAAGGTTAAAAATTGTCTATTTTATTAGGTTCAATACATGTTTTCAAGAACGAATGGTTTTTTATGATATGAAAGGAAATACCAAATGTAGACAATTCCCAAAGGATGCTCTGATCAAATCCACATCGCATTTAACTAACAATAAGGACAATCGATTTTTCAAAGGATTGGAACATACAGGGATATGTAGCTTTAAACTTACATGCAAGTACTTCATGTGTTCTTTAACATTTCAGTTGTTTTAAACATCCAAATTTATAGAAGATCAGTAGGCTCTCAGGGCAGACCATAAGACACACACCTTGAGTAGTGAGCCACTGGCCAGCTTATCTGCTGCACTGCCTGCAGTATCCCACTGGGTCTCACCTGGTGGCTTTTGGTATCAATTAGGTGGAAGAAGGGGTACCACAGACCCTGCTTTGCAGGTCCAATGAATGAGGCTAATAACCAAGGCATTTCTGCCTAGTACTAAGGCTGCCACTCCTAGGGCTTTGTACAATGTCATGTGAGAAAAGAGGAAAGGAGATTAGCACCCTCGCTTCAGAGAGGATGTGGCATGACATTTAATTACCCTTCAAGACAACCCTGGGAAGTCAACTGACTCAGCATAGAGCGATCCTAGCTGCAGACGAAACCCAATCCCTCAGGTATGGCAGCAGTTAGGATTTCTCTCTTCAACAGGTGTTTCAGAAACATTCTGCCACCTATAGTTTTGGTTCCTTTCCCGTAAGCACGGAAGTAAATTTTAAACACCCCCCACGAAAAGCTGGTTTGCCTTCCTGGCAAACCTCATGTGCAGTTTGGCAACAGTACAACCTGCTTGTGGCTTCACAAGGATTTGGGTGAGGCGGCTCCAAGCTTTCGCTCCTGCATCCTGGTTCTCAGGCAGGCTGTGAGTGGGAGGAAGCTGAAGACACAAGGTTCCCTTCTCCTGGAGATGGGCAAGGAGCTGAGGGGGACATCATCCCCCGGAGGCTCCGCCTAATGGTTTTTGAAAATTTCTTTGAGGGGGGTACATAACCTGAGCATGATCCAGGGGGTCCATCACTGACAGAAACAGTAAAGGACAAACAAGTGTCCATCAGCCTTGCCCTGAATTTGCAGCGACCCCCTTCACTAACCCTGTCTCGCCACGACTCTCTTACCAAAGGTGAGCATGTTCAAAGCAATGGGGTCTCACACTGGGGTGGGAGTTTCTTTAGAACTATCTTTCCCAGCTTCTGTCTTTCCCACCTTCTGACATATTTGGTTTCTCAAGTGACAGATGGGTCACCTGCACAGTGGCTGGACATTCCTTCTTCCATCCACCACCTTCCCCTTCCTTACCGCCTGTAACAGTTTCCTCCTCACCCCAGCTGCTCTGGCATCTCACCCCCTGGGGCTCAGCCCTGCCAGAGGCCTCCATCCATGAAACTGCCTGTTCACAGGGTGCTGCCCCAGGGCGCTGCCTGCCTGTTCTCCCATGTTGTGGAAGTCAGCGGGGCCTACTTGGGGGTGTCACACTGCCCAGCACTTCCCTTCCCGTCATCCCACCCTGAGGCCATGGGGGCACTCGTCCCCCCTCCCTTGGGTCCTTCCTGTTTCCCAGGCCAGGTCGATCCAGGACACTCAACTGCCAGGGGTCAGAACGCCACATTCCAGTGGCTTCGCACCCCCTGGGGGAGGGCTCCGGATTCCTTCATGGGGGGTGAGGTGGAGCACGGAGCCAGGAAGGGAGGTGGGGAGGGGAAAGTTCAGCACAGGTCGTTTCGGCCCACCGTGCCCACTCCTCGGGGACCACGGCCACGGGACAGGGAGGACAACAGGGGCCCCAAGACTCCTCCCTTCAGGGCGGGCCAGAGAAAGCCCCTCACTCTCTTTGGGTTCGAAAGGAAGCAGCAGCAGCCACCATGGCAGGCACAGTAGAAACTAAAAAGCCTAAGAGAACACAACAAAGTGTAACAGGCATCCGTTCCTTCACCTGCAAAATGAGGGGGCTGGCCTAGAGACCCTTTCCTGAGGGCCTTTCCAGATCCGTAACTCTCGGATTCCTGGTACAGCAACAGTTCTCTGAACTCAGGCATTGTCAAGATCTGGTGTATTTTTTTGGCTGAAACAGAATGCCACTTTCACTCAGAAGGCAACCAAACTTCCTTAACCTTCCAAAGCAAACTTCTCCTCTTGTAATACTGGATTCCTCTGCCTCTAACTCAGTGTCTCCCAGGCTATCTTGGCATCTGTCTTGTGATCTCTGTGCCCTTTGGGTTTTAACTCTTATCGAATCTGGGCTCAAACCCTCAAGCCCTGGCTTCTCACGGGCCTCCCAACTCTCCCTCCTTGCAGGGCTCCAGGGCTCACAAAGGCAGGCTCCAGGAAGCGCATTCCACCCAGGTCATCCTCTGGATCTAAGGGCCACAGCATGATGGGACTTGACAACTCAGGCCCCACCTGGACCCAAGGGACGTGCTGGGAGAATCACGACATTGCCCCCGGTGCCGAATCCCTCAAACACAGAAGTTTCACTCGACTGGAGCCAGAAACTGGGGCGGGATGAGGAGCTTGGAGCGCTAACTGGCCACTGTGTGAACAGGCAAATATGCTGACTTCAGTCTGGGCTTGGCACCTCCTGCTCCCTCCCAACACAGTCAAGGTGACTGTCCTTTCCTGGAGACGGGAGAATGGGAGACCATGGCTGGACTGGCAACCAACTTAAAATCGGGACAGGAGTCAGCCTGGCTCATCAGGTACCTGATTGATGCAAACAGAATTTGGAAGGGAAGGGAAAGAAATATGGCGCTGGGGAGACGGGGAGAGGCAATAAATGATGAGGAACCCACTTAGGGCTGCCATTCATGTGTCAAAGTCATAAAAACATCTTAGGCGGGTTCTGCCCCTATAAGACACGCCATGGAGAAAACAACCTGAGTGGTCAAAGCCCACCAACTGTACTTCCACTAAATGTCTATCTTTTCCCGTTTTTAAAGCCAACCAATGCTTTTAATAAATCCCTGTGAGTCCAGTTTGACAGCAAAGACGGCCTATGGATAAAATAAAAATGATCCTACAAAAAGATATCCTGATGTAGAGTCATCGCATTTGAAGAGCAACTGCTTTCACTGAGGGGGACAAAAAACAACCACCCCAGAATCTCTGATCAATTCTCACCGCTTTCTTGTTGAGCCAGTAATCATCAACCCAGAACACTCCTTTTATTTACTAAGACACAAACACTAGTGAGAGAACACGCTTTCTGTGGGGCGAATCATGTGGAACTAACTAGGATTTGGACTTTTTCCCCCCAGGTACCTACTACGTTTCCTAAGAAAATGGGTCAGTGTTCTGTTGAGCAGCATCTGCATGTTAGCGCCACGTGCGGCAGTCCCCGGCTGTCCCCGGCGCTCTGTGCTCAGCCCTGTCTTTTGCCCACAAGCAGAGCATGGAGCTGTAGCAGAAGCGGTGAGATGGCCCCAAAGTGTGCTTTTCCTTTGATGAAGATCAGGTTTTCAATGGGCCGCTTCAATTTGGGTGAGAGATACTTGAGAAAGATGGATGGCAATTGTAAACGCCTCTGTTCTTTTTACAAGATGATGAATCCTTCAAACCACCTGTGAATCTCGCCACACAAGAACCATACTGCATTCGTTTGGACTGAAATCAATTTATTATTATTTTTTTTTAAGTTAGGCACAAGGGGAGAATTCAATGGTCAAAAATAATTCTGGAATACATTGAGACCTAAAATAAAAAAAGAAAGAAAATGTTATTAAAATGACAACGGACAACAGAAATGGAATTTTAAACAGCAGGGTAAACTGTTGTGTTCAAATGAGTTTGTGCGTGTGTTTGCTTAAAGCTCTTCCAATTTCTCCATATAGAAAAAGGATTCTTACTATTGCTGCAATCTTGTTACATAAATCATTTTATGAATCAGTGAGTATTTTTAGAATAAAAAGCAGCACTTACAAAGGACTTCAGGTTCATGTTCTTGTCACTTTCGTAAAACCATCTTTTCCAAATTGTAATCTCTACGAACTGGGTCAAAAACTCCTGTCCGTAGGATCACAGTCCCTACTAAGAAAACAGAAGGATATATATTCTTTAGTCCTTGCCACAACGAAATATTATCAGCATAAACTTTTTAAACTAACTTTCTTAACTGAAAAAGCAAGGGCTTACCTGCGTGGAGAGCTGTGATCTTCATCCGGAGAACGGCTCAGACTCCTTATCAAAGATGAGCTGGTAGCACCCCTTCCCTATGTCTCATCTGGAACATTTGGGGACCACTTGTTCCTCCTTATAGTAGGTGAGCAGTAACTGAGAGCAGCCCTCAAATTCAATACCCCACAGCAAGAGAAAAAACGATCCTATCAGGTGGCACCTGCCTCAGGGGAAAAATCATGAAAACCTCTTCATAAGCACCTTCCAGCCACCAATGTGATATATAATGTAAAGATAATGTCCCATGATTTACTCATTAACTTAGAGCATTATTTACTGAACAACTTCTTACCTGGCGCCATGCTTAGCCCTGAGTGGGCTACAAAGATGCAGGAGCCTTCTCAACTGAAGAGCCTTTTCTACCCGCCTCCCACCTCAGCAGCAAACACAGTGAGAATGCAGAGTGAGCCCATCAAGAAAGGGCAGAGTCTGCTTAAGACAGCCATCAAGTAGGCTGGAGTGTGAAATGTTCCAATAACAATGCTTACTGGCCATAAGTCACCTGACTAAGCTGTTTTGCCCTTTCAAAATTACTGTGGGAGCCAGTAACATTAATCAAACTTCTGACACAGTGGGTAGGTAGGTCTGATGAAGAAATCATAGGCATATGGTTATTGATATTGAATTTGGAACATCCTACTACCTTTCCCCAACCTGGGGTAAATGTTTTCATGCCAATAATGCTTTATTGCAACCAGGTATTACCAGTGTGGTAAGAGATGAGGAAATCATTTTTCCAACTTCTGAATATTACACTTATTCAACAAATCATTTAGTGAGCACCTATTACGTATAAACCACAGTGTTCGAGGCTGAGGTACAAAGATACAACGACAACAGACATTTACCATGTGCTTAGTATGTTAAAGCCACTATTCAAGTGATTTACATGAATGAGTCAACTTAGTTACTCCTTATACAATAACAACTGTAATGAGGTTACTATTATTATTCCCATTTTTACAGATGGAAACTGCCCACAGAGGTCAAGCAGCTTGGCAAGGAGAACGCACCAGGCAAGTGGCTAGGCTGGACTATGAACTAGAACTCTCACTATACACAATACTGCCTCCCATAAACAAAAGTTCGTTTCTCCTTAAGGAACTTATCATCTAAATTCCTCCTGAGGAAGTCATACCCTCTGGGAAGCTCCCTGGCAAATGGAAGCAACATGTGCTAGCCATACAGGCGGATAAGATGCCCCAAGGCTAGAGTGATTTCACGGTCTGGTGGACAAGCAACAAGGCCCAGGAGGCGGGACCAGCACTGGGAGTGAGGCCAAGGCCACTGGCGAAGGCAAGCAAATGCCCCTCGATGAGGAGAGCTGGGGTGGGGCTGGCTGGGCAGTGTCCCCGAGTGGCTAAGAGCAGACAGCACCCACGTGCAGGGCCGGGGTTCACCAGGGCAGCGGCTGCAAGGGGGCCCTCCCGTACCCACAGGGGTGGATGCAGTAAAAGGATTTGCAACCTACCCAGGGGAAGTCAGTGAACAACCCACAGAAAGTCAAAAGATTCGCAGGCCTGGGCACTTGAGAGCAGCTGCCCTTGTTCTCCTTGTATACGGAGATGGTGAGGTGCCCACACAGCCACAAAGCCCCACTCCCCACAGCTGCAGCCCCCAAGTGCTATATGTTCTAGTATTTCCATAACTGTCTTTTCCCAAGATGCTTGTTCTTTTTTTTCCCCATCAGCTCTCCTGGCAGGTCAGAAAGTTAATTCTTTGACCACAAAGTCAGAAAGAAAGGGACCAAAGTGGAAGTGGTTGGTGCACTGGGGGAGACTTCAGAGGCAGCCAGCAAATGAGACCCAGCCACTCAGAGGTGCCCAGTGGAAGCCTGGACTCTGAGAGGTAAAAGTGTGAAGCTGCTATAACAAATCCATCCATAAACAAATCCATCCAGCGTTTACCCTGGTGAGAACCTCTGAGTCTATGACCTCCTTCAAACTATATTTATGCCTTCTCCCACAGTCTCACATCTCAACAGCCAGAAATAAACCCAGGGCTCTCAAACCCGAACCTTTCCTCCTCCCCTCTCATCCGACTTGGCCAAGCTCCAGGGCTCTGTAAGCAAGGAAAGGCAGCCCAGCGACACTGGACCAGCCCTCACCTACAGCAGGAACATTCTGGTTTTCATTTATAGAACGGTGGAAGTGGAAAACTATTTTAAATCCTCAGATAACATCCTTGGTTAACAACGGCGTACGTCACATGCATGCAAAGCACAAAGGTTGCAAATTAATATTGAAGTTAATGGCTAGTCCCTATTTAGGATGCAGTTAATTGTATCCATTTTTCATACTAAATAAATATTTGCAATCCAATAATGCACTCCAAAATAAAGCAACAGAATTAAAAGGCCCCTACCCAGTGGGCTGGCTGTTTGCACAAAGCCTACAAATTGTTCCTTAAGAGAAGAAAAGCGTACAAAAAGTCTCACTGTCCTTAGAGTCAACACAGTCCTGGTGGTAGCAGGGATGTAGACGACACAATCAGGGCCCACAGTCCTCAGGCCACAGGCCCAGACACAAAGGACCAGATGCACAGGTAGAGCGGGGAGCCAAGCCCGCTCATCTGCTTAGGGAGCCTAGGCACTCCTGAAAACAAATCAAGCTACATAGAATTTTCTCTTAAGTTCACCTGGAAGCACCATTTCCCCCCCACACACTCTTGCCTTTTATATAGTCCTGAAATGAAAGGGGGAAAGGGAATAAAGTCGAAATCTGCAGTCAGTATTTCTCCATTAATCGGCTTAAATTATTACAATGAGGGCTACATAGCAACATAGGAAAATGCATTTAATGTAATTTTAAGTGGCAAGGAGAGAGATGCAAGATACACAAAATACATATGTAGAGGAAGACTGGACAGAGGACGTATATACAAAAATACAAAACTAGTTCTTGTAGTTGGAACAAGAGCATTTCGGGTCATTGTTTCTCTTCTCTATTTCCCGAAGTCTCTTTTTGGTAAAGTTATGTTGCCTTTATAATTGGTTTCTTAAAAGGGAGGCAGTGGACCTAATATTTGGTCCCAGTACACATGGCTAGTTATGGGAAAAAAGATGTTCAAGAAATAAAACTACAGACAGGGGATTTAGGTAACGCTTTTTGGAGTGACCGTTACAGGAACTGGGGTCTCTTTACAAGGCAGGTACCCTTCCCAGATGCAACCAAACTTCAAGAATCTTTGAGTATGAATCACTATGTTGTTTTGTGCACCTGAAACTAATTTTATTTTAAGAAAATGAAATCCAAAGGGGGAAACAAAAGAATCTTTGAGTATGAAAAGTTCTAAGGAATTTCTGTATCAGTCCTTTCTGAGGGTCTACATCTCTCAGCACACGGCACAGGCAGGGCATCAGCAACTATAAACCTGAGGAAGTACCTGATTAGCTGCAGAAGAGGAGACACAGGGATGAGATGCCTACCGCTTTATACAAACCATTTAGGACACAGTCTACATACATACACATATTTATTTATATAAAGAAATTCATGATTGTCAGACACAGACAGCCATTTTTTTTTCTGTTGGAATTCACAGAACCTAACAGCTCCAATGAGAAGAAAATGCTATCATCACAGAAGAACAGGCATAAAGAGACTATGAACAGGGACCCTGTGGGGAATTTCTTTTTTTTTTTTTTTTTAATATGTGTGCAAGTTGCTTATAAGGATGTGTGCATATGCACACATCACATGATTTGCAAAATGTGCACAGCTGTCCACTGTAATGACACAGTTTTCCACTGTAATGAAAGACAGAAAGAAAACATCTATGTTTCCATTAACTCTAAATCACACACAGACTCAGGGACGCCTTCGCACTGCGTTCTGCCAGTCCACCGCCCCCCCCTCCCCAAGGCTTCCCCTAGGTCACGGCCAACTTCATTTCTACCCCTCAGAGAGCCCATCTGCTGGCTTTCTCTAGCACAAATGTGACCTTTTCTCCCCCAAGCACTGTCTCTGGGTCCAGCTGCAGGCACGACAGGCCAGTCCAAGGCCAGTTCAGGAAACCCATTTCCCCCAAATGACTCTGAGAGGTTCATTTTGAGGCTCAGGGCAACTCGACCATCTCTACAGCTGAAAATGGTACTTGGTGGTTGTACTTCACACCCACTCCTCCGGTTCTCGCCTGCCAGGAAGTCTACTTTGCAGTTACAAGGACTGTTTACCTTGGCTTACAACCTGAGGGGCACTCCCTCCTCCAAGTGTGTTTCCCAGTCCTCCGCCTCCATTCATTTATTTTATTAGCAACTGCAGGTAAATGTGCTATTATTTCAGCAGCAAGAACAGCTCTGGGTCCTTCACCTACCACCTCAAAATTAACTGAGGAATCACAGGTTCTGAGATGCACACATCTCTGATTCGGGCAGTATCCACCATCAAGTTAAATACTCCCTCAGCTGACGAAGTCTTAGAGGGCAACACTCCAAGGGGAACATACTTGGCCCCAGGTCTGGGAGCTGACTTTTAAACTTTCAGTAGTAATGAAACCACATAAAAATTTTAAAAAATATTTTTAAAGCGTTATAGGAAAATCAATGGTGGACCCTCAAAAAATTACCTTGCTTAGAATCTTCCCTTTTCATTGCATTATGGGGAATACAGCTTAACATTATGAACTCTGCAGCTATAGGTTTACCTTAGACATCAGCTGCAGCTTGTCCTCTGCTCCCTTCCCAAAACTTTTATAACAGTGGCAGTTAATGAAAGGCTCTAAAGTAGGTTACTGCAAAGCCACCAACCATGATAAGAACATTATATAAATAGTTATCATCAAGTGAGCATCTTCAACATGGAAAAGATGAAGTTGTTGCAGCAGAGGCCCTAAGAAAATGAGGCTCTCTGGGCACATGCACTAGAGTGATAAGAGGGTATGGGTGCCTGAACTCACACCTGGACAACTGTGTATATGTGTCTGTGACCCTGTATATTTTATCTTGGCCAAGCCTCTCTTTAGCAGTTGGAAAGCTTAGTGCCAAATAAATGTATCACCGAAAGACTGCAATTTCTTGTTGTATCCTCCAGTGTCTAATGTCTTACTATCTTAATTGGTAAACCACCTTAAGACCTTTAGAAACATAAACAAACAAAGAGTTCATGACTGGTGCTGAAGAAAAAACAACTTCACACCGTTAGTTAAATAACAAGTTGGGACTCCACCTAAGAGTCATCAAGAATTCCTCAGTCCCTTAAGTCATAGGGTTTGGAGTAAATCCAAATGGGATTTTGCTTTTTAAATTCCTTATATTGCACTCCCACAGACTTCCTGTTCAAACCATTGTGAGGCACTTTTATTATTCACAGTCACACACTTCCACCCTTATGTTGAGGGTTTAGGATTTCCTTCCCCACAGAATTCCGGAGGACATTTGGAGATCACCTGGAGCAGTAAACAGGTTGTATCATTCGTTGGCATGGCACTCCCAGACTGAAAATTCAATACATGTTTGTTAAACTAAACTCCTTCCTGACTAGTCAACATACATGTTGAAGACCCAACCCTGGATTTCCTAAGAATACGGAAGTCTGTTTTATTATAGCCGATTATTCATATCATCATCGGAAGTATGTCTGTCTGTAAAGTAATTTATAATTATCATTTGTTTACAAGCAGCTGATCACCATAGTATCTCAACTGCTCAGTGAACTAGATCCAGGGTGGTAAGAAGGTTATAAGCAGCCACCCACGAGGAAAATTCTTCCAAGCTGATGAAGGGTTGGTGAATGAAAGATGACACCTTTATGACAAACCAGCAAGGAGAAAAGTCTTCACAAATAAAACAAATACTTTTAAATACTTGCCAAAATAAATATAGCTGAAACTAACCCATCCTAACAAAACTGAAAAACTAAATTCTGAGAATGATTCGGGGTGGGAGTGGGGGGAGAAAGAGGACACGGACCTGGTTAATCCGTTTTGAGCTTCCTTCTTCAATACCATGAGTTCTCAGTGGGATTCTCTCAACAGGTATTGTCATTTGTTTCGGTTTCCACAATATAAACCAAACAGTTCAGATGGAAAACTTTTTGTATAATATCTTGGATGACCTTGAGTCTAGATTTAGTCAACAAATGCTCATTGAGTTCTTCCTGTGTGCCAAGCGCTAGAATAACACACAACCCTGGCACTCCAGCGGATCACAATGAGGCAGGGAGACAGAAATGTGAACTCTAACACAGTGTGAAAAGTGCTACAACAAGGGAAGGAGAAAGTGCTATTTGTGGGCACTGTGGGGTGGGGGGGGTGGCATTATTTTTTCCTGGGCAGGGCAGGAAGGCTTTACAAAAGAAGCTGCATAAAATGGTACGGTTTGAAGGATGAGAACACATTTTAAAGGATGTTAACTTTGGGAATCTGAAAGCCGACACCACACCCATTTTTCCAGTTTGGTTGCAATAGATATTAGGAAGCATGTGGCCAACATACCTTCTAATTTTCTGGGTTCTGCACGGGCCTCTAAGACAAACTTGAAAAAAAAGCTGGACAACCTAAACCTCGAGGTGAATCATCAGGTACTGAACTTAGGAGTCTCATTCCCCCCTTACCTGTGGGCTTTTAGTAATAACATGCAAATTACTGAGGCACTCAGGGAAATAAAAATGTTTATTATATGAAGATTACTTTTTTAAAAGTAAAGTTGGAATCATGATGCATATGAAATATATCTCTCCTTAAGAAAAAAAAAACAGTTCACTGTTCCTTCTTCCCTAGTCATCCCCTAGGTTTTCTTCCTTTTCATAGTTCCTAATACCTTCTACTTTTCCATTCTCTTAAGAAACAGTATCACCCAAGCATTTCTGACTCAAGGGCATATGCTTACATATTCACACACAGTTTAAAAAATATAATACATGGACTATTTTCAGTGCCAAACGTAGATGTAATTATATATTTCTTTTGGACATGTTTTATGTTATGAAAGCATGTAAATACTTTATCTCCCTCCAGTTTTCCAGAATTCTATTGGCAGTCTTTTTCCTTTCTCTCTCCAAAGCATCGACTACAATTTTCTGACTAGATAATGAACTTGGTTGCTGAGGGCTCACCTTTTCCCAACGTAGTCTTTGGAAATAATTTAATCTCCTTTTTCAAAAAATAAAAACACCTCTGGCTTCTTTTATTTTGCTTATTTCCCTAGAGAGGTATTCCATTTCTTACCCTAAAATTTCTGCTTCTCCTTTCTGCTATCACATCTAAAATTCCTATACAAGGCCAAACGTTATGTTTAGTGATAACCTACTATGAAATCATCCCACAGTGCCTTAAGGATAATAAAACTTTTGTCCCAATCACCAAAATAATAAAATGAGTCAGTAATTTTCCTCAACTCCATCTGCCCACATATAGAGATCCCAATTAACTAGACAGTTTAAAAGCCAAAGCACTTTCATTAGAACTGTTTTTCCCAATGTGATAAAACAATGCACAATCTTTAGTTATTAAGAAGTCATTTTCAGGGTGATCTACGCAGCAGAATTTGCTTCAAGCAGGCAAGTTGTTTTCAGCACATCCGTGAAACAATGCAAAGTATTCCGTCTGTGTTGAGCCCTCAGCAACTGAACACATGCACGTACACACACGCACACACTCTATGTCCAAAGGCACAAAGTGAGCTACATCTTGAAAGGAGGAATTATCACAACTTCCTGTCTCTCCAAGTCACATCTGCGGCTGTACCAGAGGCCCGGCTGCTGATGTACAGATAGTGTTTATCCTCCTGGGCTCATCTCTGCAGGCCAGCAAGTCTACCACAGCCTTGTAAAGAGCCTTGTTTTATGAAGTCTTATCCCTTTCTGATCCATAGTATCCTATCCCGCCCCGCCCCGTGCCAAATAAATTTAATGTGCTGGCAAACGCTCCCCCACCCCACCCCACCCCAAAACATTTCTACAGAACTCTTCTTCTGCCAGCCTGTTCGGGCACACGCCATTATTGTGAGGAGTCCTCACAGAACATTTGACGCTTGGCACCAGCTTCTCTTAATATTTGGATTACCGATAGCTGTAGAGCTGCGTGCAACCGTGCTGGGAAGAACGTGGAGGCAAGCAGCAAGACTGCAGGAAAGCCTTTCCAAAGATTTTCAGGGCATTTGAGAGCCAGCCCGCAGTGGGTCATGGCAGGGATTCACCGGGAAGGTGGGCCAAACCACAGCCAAAGATGTGGGCATGGGCGGTACCAAATGGACCTTCTAGCACTGATTCTGACAGCAGCCAACACACTCGAACCCTCCAGCACCTTCCAACAGAGAAAGGTTGGGCCCCAGGCACTCAGGCTCTCATTACTTGTCCCACAGTTTAAAAGTTCTTAAGCTAATATGCACCAACCAAGCAGGAAGAGAACCAAATAAAGACCTATTGATGTACCAAAGGAGAGTAAAGCAAACCTATTTAGGCAAAAGCTCCGGTTCGTAAATGAACACCCACTCTTCAATGGCTACTTCAGTCGCCACCACTATGAGCTATCTAGAAATCTACCCTGAAAGAGAAGGGATAAGATCCGGAAGAGGATTTAACTTTTGATATTATCTTTAAAAAAGAAAAGAAGGAAAGACAGAGCAAGCCACAGTACTCCATTAGAAGTGTTTTCTGTTAAACAATCTAAAACCGTCTACCCAGTTAGTAGTACACTTACAATGGTTTTACAGATTAGAACAAAAACAATAAAAATCTTTGGAAGCGCAAAGGAAAATATTACAGAAAACTTAAAAATTAGATAAATTCATATTGCTAGGGATTGGCAGCTTAGGTAATTGCGCTGAAAGTGAGAATCATGGAAGAGATCTACGTAATAATTAGCTGCTGAGTTTTCTCATGTAGCATACTCCCAAATGGAGTATTGAGCAGCCAGCAGACTGTTTAGCGAATAAATGCCCAACTGGAATTAACTAGCACCTCATTTTGGAAGGCTGCTCTTGGCAAAAATGTAATATCCACAAGGCAAAGCGATGTGATTGCTGGTGTACACGGTGGGGCTGCGTTGAGTGTCACATTCTTTAGAATAGCACATATTACATCAAATTTCAGAGCCACAGCTCCACACCACCGAACTTCACTCAATGCCCTGCCACTGGACAACATGCAAAGGAAGAGGGAAGTTTCTCAACCCCAAGAGACAGCTTTCCAAGCTTCACAGTTGGCCTGTACTTGATACATATTTAGTGAAGATTTGCTGTCTGTCTCACATGCAGGCAAAAGAGCTTCCTGGTTCCTGTGGCTTGGCAACACGAGAAGGGCAAGGGGGCTGGTGTGGAGGGCGGCATGTCCCTCTGTACAGACTAATCATTTCATCCTCCCAACGAGGCACCCAGATGCCACATTCAGCCAGTGCCTCTCCTTCCATGCAACTATGGCTGTGATGTTTCTTTAAATTCAGTCAGCTCCTTAAGGAGACTCCCTGGCAAGTGAAAACAGCAGCAAAGGTAAAAGAATGTGGAGAATTTGGCTGCTGCCTGCAGTATTAGGAAGAACAGCAATTACTCAACTCTCCTAGTGTCAGGGGCAGAAATGAGCATGTGAATTTCAACAAGTTTGGGCCTGTCTATGCTCAAGCTTCTCCCTTAGCATATCTGTCACCTACCTACCTCACAGTCGTAATAATTAATGAAGTAAATGAGAAAATGGAGAAAGAGCGAAAGCAGCAGGCCAGCACAGACATAAAAGAGAAGCATAAATTCTACCTTGAATCCAGATTAGGCCACAGTTAATAAGGCTTAAACATTGCCAGCCCTTAAAAGATGTTACTGACTTCCTGATAACACTGTTTTGCTGTCTCCACCCGCTCCCACTAAACATAACCATGGGAGAACTCTAGATCTTCTCCTCCAAGTCCTGTCTACAACCCTTGGCCAAGAATCAGGGAGACACCACCATTTTTTCCTTCCCTAGCTCTGCAAACACAAGGTAATATTTGACTCCTGCCCAGCACGCCTTCGTAATAAAAACATAGCTCTTATGACCAGAAGGGCCTTATGATACCTGGTTCAGTTCCCCTACCTTCAGGTAGGTAACTATTTAATTCCCTTTTGACAAATTAAGGCAAAGTCAAGTCAAGGGAAGTTGAAAAGGTTTTATTTATGTTACTGAGCTAGCTACTAAAGGATGAAGGGAGATCGGGAAAGCCATGGCTATTTCTCCTCCTTTATCAAGCCAGTTCACGTACAAGAATTTTGTGATATTTACCTTTCTGAGCAGCCTTATATCCTTCCTGCAACAAGCTAGGACACATACAAACCTATTCGTTATTTTGATTCGAATATGGAAATGTATTTGGCCTTTCATTTTTATGTCATAGATAGTGGTAATGAATTTTCCTAAAATTTGTTTGCAACGTGAGAACTTCAGTAGTTCTGAAAAAGACACAGCATACCCAATCCTTCTTTAACAAGTTAATAGTCCCTCTACTTCGGCTCTCAGAGATAAAACTGTCTACATACTACCCCTTTTTCCTCACTCAGAATGTAAACGCCGATGCCTTTAAAAAACCAAAGCTCCAAACTATGGAAAGTGCAAAACAATATGAGCGTTTTCAAGATCTGCTTTTGACAAGATGATGGAATGGTCTTCCCCTGCAGAATTATAAACACACCCTCTAAGGGGACCAAGCCCACACATCCTGTATGGACGATTTCTCACGCATTACAGGGCTGAAGTGGTCCCAGCACATTCTTAATACTAAACATCTAGTTCAGGTCAAACTTCCTCAAGGTAGCTTTGCCTTATTTTGGCAAGTCTTTTGGAGTCTGAAAAAAAAAAGAGGTATCGCAACTCTCCCACATTGAGATGCCTTTTGTTTTATCACAGCTGTGAAGCATTTTGCTGTGGCCTTTGGATAAGAAGCTAAATAAGTTACCTCTTGTAGACCAGGGCTTTGCAGGCTCAGGTTTCA